CCAGGTGACATAAGACAGCAACTCACAAGACCAACAATGGCCTTGTTTATCATATACCTTGACCTTCAGCTGCTAGACAAGTTATGTTGTTTATTACTGTTCATTTGTTTGAGATGCCATAGATATCCATTTCATATGTAGCTTAACCCAAATTCAGGACTTGGAGATCATTAGTATTTTTCTACTATTCTATTTTTAAAAAATGTTTATTTGGTTTTGTTTTGTGTGTACACATGTCACCAAGCCTGTATGGAAGCCAAAGGACAACTTGTGGGAGTTAGTTCTCTCCTAACTTGGGGACAGGCTGACTTTGGATTCAGTAATGGCTAGGATCCTTAGCAATAGTGCTTATGGGTGGCTGTGTTATTTACCTTTTCTAGATCTATAAAATGGACAGAAGGCTCTATCCCATGAACTGTTATAATAATAAACATAATTAGGAAACAATAGACTTGACTATGTGGACAAAGCCTGCTTACTGTGTTCATAACCGAGTCTCTGTGACTGAATTTAGGTCGGCAGGCTTGGCAGCAAGATCTGTTTCCCACAATCTCACTGGCCAAATTCTTCCTTCTTGAAGCTGTTCAAATTCTACACAACTACCTTCCTCCCATGGTCTTCATAGTCCTTAGTTTCTGCTTGGTTTCCCTAAAATTTTAATCTGGATTAAATTAATTCTTAATTTAAATATTTATGGTGCTGGAGATTGAACCTAGAACCTTATATTTACTCTACTACCAAGCTATATCCCTGACTATGAATTTAATGAAGTTTAGCTACAATAGACCAAAAGTTACTTACAAAGTCTTTAATTTTGTTTTGATTTTCTTTTTGTTTCTAGGGACCGAACCCAGAACTTATGCATGCTAGGAAAATACTGTATCATTGAACTATATTCTTGCCCCACAAAACCTTTCTACTGTTTCAACTCTCAGTTGTAATCAAACTAGATGATCCTTACCTGTTAAAATCTGTTTCCCAAGAGCTTGTACCTCTTGATTCAAATGTCTATCATTCAGCTACTTAATTAAAAACAACTAGGTCCTATTTGAACTGACTTAAGGGGGTGAGGGATTTATTCAAAAGAAAGACTTTGGGCATTGCCTCAGTGGCTTGCATCTCTAAACAACTCCCAAAACCATAGCACAAGCACTGGTAAGATACCACTGCCTCAGCATCCCACCACACACTAGCATGTGCACTTTAGGAACAGGGTACCACTGACTCATCAAACACAGCCATCTACCTTCCCTCAGGCACAGAGTAGATAGTCCCTCCAGGCAGGAAGGTGGCTGAAGCCCAGGCAGGAAAAAATGTTGTTGTTGACATAATGGTGTTAGGTGATTCACAGAGCCCCGATCTAAGACAGAGGCAGATTTGACATTTTATGACCACAATTGTCATTTGCTTGAAATGTCTATAGGCTAATTTCAATAGGTTTATGTATACCACATATACTTTAGGATCTCATGAGTTCTTTAGAGTAGTCTCTGTTCCTTTCTTCATCTCTTCTTGGTTTTCTAAAATGGGCAACAGGGCATGGAAGATTCCAAGCCTTGGGGACAAGATGGCTTCGGATTCAGTAATGGCTAGGATCCTTAGCAATAGTGCTTATGGGTGGATGTGTTATTTACCTTTTCTAGATCTATAAAATGGACAGTAAGCTCTGACCCATGAAGTGTTATGATAAACATAATTAACACAGAGAGGCTAGGAAACAATAGACTTGACTATGTGGACAAAGCCTGTTTATTGTGTTGATAACTGAGCAATTATCTACCATATGGCACCTGGAACAAATATACAGGCAGACACGGAGCAATATAATTCAAAACGACTCGGCAACATGCACTGGTAAGGACATGAGAAATATCCAAGATATCCCATCATCCTTTGCACCGGATACCTTGTAGCTCTCTGTCCTCTCAGAGTAACAACCACTGAGCTCAGTGGGGCAGCTGTGTCTTTTAACGAGAGACCTTTGAGAACAGGGCTTTTGACTGTTGAGGATCCCTCAAAGAAAGAGAAGGTAAGGAGGGAGGGGTCACTGGAACCTCACTTGAGATTCCTATCACCCCCTTCTGAATCTTCAAACAGCATGTATTGATGTAAGTATATACTTGTAGTGTGCCAGCTGGTTTTTATTGTCAACTTGATGCATCCTAAGATTAGGGCACCTCAACTGGGGAATTTCCTGGACTGGGTTGGCCTGTTGCCACGTACTTGAGAGACTGTCTTGATTAATGAATGATGTGGGAAGGCCAAACCCACTGCCGGGCAGCACCAACTCTGGGTAACATGGGCCTTTGATCAAGCCAGAGAGCTAGGCAGCAAGCAGTGTTCCTCCATGGTTCCAGTCTTGAGTTCCTATCCCGATTTCCCTCTGTAATGATTGGCAACCTGGAAGTATAAGTCAAAGGAACTCTTTCCTACCAAGTTGCATTTGGTCATGGCGTTAGCCACAGCAATAGAAGGAAACTAGAACATGTGGAATTCTGCTCCCAATTGCACAGGGCCCTGTGGTCTTGGTCGACAACAGGGTATATAGATTAGAGAAGGTTCACTGAAGGATAAGGATATGCAGACTATATAACTATGAGGAAGTGGCCATCCATGCTGGGGTGTGGCTGATTTGAGATCACCTTTTCATGTTGGTTCAGCGGACGAACTAGGCCCATTTTAGCCACCACTGTCCTCTCTGCAAGGAATAATCTCTTCTATAATTATTCACATAGTATATTCTCGGTCCTTTGGTGTGTTCACGTTCCCGTGGAGGTCAGAGGTCAACCTTAGGTGTCATTTCACAGATATCTACCTCATTTATTGAGGCAGGATCACTCACTCAGTACCTGGAGTTCTCCAGGCTATGTCGGCTGGCCAGCAAGCTAAAAGGATCGACCTGTCTCTTCATCCTCAGCACCAGGACTGCAAGCGTGCTCCACAAAGCCTGGTTCTTTATATATGGGTTTCAGAGATGGAACTTGGGTCTTCCTGGTCACACAAGCAAGCACTTTACTGACTGAAGCATCTTCCCAGCTCCAGTAAATTATTGCTTTTACTCTCTAAACAATTGTTATAGAAAGAACAATTGAAGTAATGTTAATTTCTCCCATGCTATATATTTATGTAAATAAGTAGGATAGATAAGAGAGATTATGCATATGTGTATACATTAATTTACATATTTCATTTATACCATATTTTATTTATTTATATATGTATGTGCTCTGGGTTAAAGAATCTCAAATAACTGTATAGAATTTCCTCTATAAAGTTTAAGTGATAAATGTCTTTCAGACTACCAGGTTGGCACAGTTAGGAACAGTCCATGGGACTTGGCTTTCAAGCAAATCTATTATGATTAGAATCTGTACCCAGCACAGAAATGCCTGGCCACCAGATGTCACCATTTTTCTTGAGACATTTTTTTTCTCTAAGGGCTTGAGAGGAAGAATGTCTCAGAATATTCCTGGGGTTTCCAGAAAAGGTTTTTCTGTGCAATCAAATTTCCTCTGTGTCCTCGGACCCCACTTGGACTGTCTCTGACACCTGGACACTCTTCTGGTCCAGAAGTAGCCCAGCCTCTTCCTCCAAGTGGATGCTACAGAAGGGCTGATTTCGTTTGTGTACATTCCCAGGGTGCTCCAAGCAGGAGACAGCACCACAGGTGTGCTCTATGAAAGAGCTGCGTGTCAAGAGCTCTTACTCAGTGGCTGTGTGGCCCAGAGGGCTACTTTACAAAATGCAGAAGAGGAACTAAATTGTTTCTAGAGTTTAAAAAAAAATCCCCAAATTCTATAATCCCCAGGTTTAAAATAATTCTTCTGGGGATGTGGAGGGGTGGAAGTTAGGGTGAAATTAGCCCAAGAACGAGACCCCTAGCAAGGCTGTGAAACATGGTTGAAGAAATTCTGCAGGATAAGCCCTTATACTGTAACTGGATATAGTGCTGGCTCACAGGAGCAGGACTTCCTGTCATTTACACCCTGGGTAATCCACCAGTCCACCCTCCTTCCATTCCAGATAACACTTAACCAGGATCTATAATGCTCCATGATGTAAATGCATGGCCAGCTCCCTGGAGGGTGGCCGACTGAATATTTCATGCTGCTCAGTGTTTCATTGTGGTGCCCTCAGGGCAGGAGATGTGTTTTATTTCTTTTTGAATTTACAAGAGTACTGTGTTAAGCTGTCCAGGCTGCTCATAAAACGCAGACAGAGCAGAGAAAAGAAGCACATTAGAAAGATTGTGTGCCTACTGTGTACCAGTCACTGCCAAACCTTTTACAAATTTCATTCCATCTTCACAAAAACATCACGAAGCGGCCGTTATTGCTCTCATCAACAGAGCCGCTGAGAGGAGCAGGATAAATGGCTTGCTCAGGGTCACTAAAGCCAAGGGTGTGGTGGCTGATGCTTATAATTCCCGCACTCAGGAGATGGAGGCAAGAGGATCCAGAGTTAGAGGTTATCCTCTGCTAGAAAGCAAGCTCGTTGAGGACACTCTGGGTTAGGCAAGACTGCACCTCACACCCACCCCCCAAATCACAAAATAAACAAATACGAATCTGTTCGGTTAAAAAATAAAAATAAAAAAAGACACGGACAGAAATTCCTACTGCTTTTGCCAATCTCTTCTACAAAGTATAAAATGGAGCTCAGGGCGTTTGTTAAAGTTGGCAAGACCCCTAAATAGTTGAGCCCGCCATCTCCTCCCCACTGGCTTCACTCCTGGAAGATCCCTGTCCAGAGGAGGCCCAGAGACCATCACTCTGGAGGATGCACTGTATGTAACAGTAATTGTACGCTGCCCCTGACCTTGCTAGAGTACTATTTACTCAACTCCCTCGGTCTAGCTCGCTGCCTGTTTCTCCTTGGGCTGCGGAATGGAGCGGCTTCAAGTCCTCTTCTACAGGGTCTAGAGTTTGCCGACGATCCCCGAGAAGCCAAGGCGTTCCGAATTGGCTGAGCGCTCTGCCGGGGTGGGCGGGGAATTTGCCGAACGTCCGTAGCCCGGAATCCCTTTGCCTTGGAGAGCGGCGCGAGCCCACAAGCTGAGAGAAGTTGGGTAGGTCGATCCGAGAAGGATAGTAGAAACCTCGAGAAGATCTCCTAACCATTCTGTCCTGATCGTTTGGACCCGGGAGGAACGTCCCTACTTGCGTCTAGGGGCGGAAGGTGGACGAGCTGCGCACGGCCCCGCCAGGGCTGGTAGTTTTCAGACCGTCCCTGCCGAGGCCCGCTCGCCCGGCAGCCCTGCGGCTCCCGCGGTGGCGGCGGCGGCCCCAGGCTCGATCCAGCCCAGGTAGCCGACTCTCAGTCTCTGGGGGCGCTGTGACCCCGCTCCTGGCTGTGCCTGGGACCCCGTTCCCTGAAGCACGGCTGCTGGAGAGTGACCCCCGACTGCTACTGATGCTTCTGCTGCTCCCCTACTAGCAGGTAAGAGCTGCTGCAGGGTCGAGCGATCGATTCAGAAGCTCGCCATCCCCCCTCGGGGAGATGCATGGACTGTGGATCGCGGGGGACGCGTGGGGGACGCTAGGGGAGATGAGGCAGCCCTTATCTGGCCCAACGCTAACACCCGGGGCTGCGTGGGTGGATGTTCTGGCCGTGTTTGATTTGGGACAGGGGAGGGGGCTCCAGAGTACAACCGAGGGACCCGCTTGGAGGGTCCACCACCTGCTCAGAGGCATCCCCTCTCATGGGACCCTGAAGACCTTCCCTAGTCTCTGAGGCTTTTAGGCTTCCAATGAACTGTCCAGAGGGGGCTCGGGTGGAGTGGGCTGGAAACGAGAAGCTGAGATTGGCATTTTGGACGCTGGGACCGCGGTGAAACCAGAAACCAGGATGCCAGCGTGGGCCGGGCTAGGGTCCTGGGGATCCGAGAGCTCAGCGTGAGATGTGCCTTGAGCCAGTTGGAAGGAAGAATGAAGGAGTGGGGCCCCAGGTCCCTGGGGAGAAGGGATACGAAGATCCAAAGCTCCAGGCTAAGAGGTCAAGAAGACCCTTTGTAACCCAGATATCCTTGGGGACCGCCAACCCGGACCGCGATCCAGCCGGAGTGCACCCACGACTGGGAGATGGCAGAGGCTGTGGGATGTAAGGGCGACACCCGCGTACATACTCCCCTAGAGCATGCTCAGTGCAGTCCTGGGAACTTCCTGCCGAGTCGCCAGGCCAGCCGCTTTGGTCCCCTTTGGGGCTACAGCTCGCTAAATTGGGGGTAGGGTGTATGAGAGTGGGGATCTCTGTGCCCTCTTGTTCACCCTTTCTCGTCCCCGGGCCTCTGCCTGGCCTGTGACTGGCACCATGGCTCTGCTTTCCAGAGCCACTCTGGCCTCTGGAGACGGGGGCGTGGATGTCATACCCTTGCTCCCTGCGGGTGGAAAGCCAGAGGCCTGGTGGTGCGTCGGTCTGCCAGGTGGACCAGCTTTCTGGGAACGCAGGGCGCTCAGTCGCGTGCATTTACTCTGTGCTGGGAGCAGGTTGGGTGGAAGGGGGTGTGTGAGCCCGGCAACATTCGCGCGCTCACAGTCGATGTCACACACAAAGCCACCGCAGGGAAGAGGGAAGGGGTGGCGCTTGTATTTTTTTTTTTTTTTTTTTTTTTTTTTTTTGTTCAGAGGCTTTTGGAGCATTCTTGAGCTGTGTGTGTGTGTGTGTGTGTGTGTGTGTGTGTGTGTGTGTGTGTGTGTTTAAGTGTAAGACCCAGAGGATGCCTTTTGATTTGCTGAGGTTGCCCTGGTCTAGATCTAGAGCTCAGTAATTCCTGGCAGTAGTTGCCAGGCCTCGGCTTGGTGTTTGAATATGGTCCTGGATGCCTCTGGGGCTGTGAAGTTGGGAAGCAGCAAACAGGTTTGTGTGGGGTTTTCCCCGTGTAGTGGCAAAGTCACATCTGTAACTACACTTGGATATAAGGTTACATCAAATTAGAATCTATTGAGTTCTGAGTGGAAAACAAGTTCATTAACTGACCTATCTCAAGTTTGTTGTCAAGACCGGAGGGATCTCCCACCCTGGACTTGTGGGAGACCCTTTGTTGCTGGAACAGAGCTCTATCTCAGTCAAGAAAGTCAAAGCATCTCAGACCTGTCTTCCATGAATTTTTCCACCCTCCCTTAGTTCCTCTAAATCATTCTGTGGCTGTTACTCAGTGTTGAGATGGGCAGGCTTAAGTCTGATTCTGTTAGGATCAGAACAAAGCTTCCCCCTTTAGAGGACATTTTAGTTTTTCTTCTGTTATCAACCAAATGCCCATATGATAAACTTACTTGAGGTACAGCTCTGGAAATGGACAGGAGGGGTGAATGGGTACCCTTTTCAGGGACAGAGAAAAGGGGGAAGTGTCTGTTCCCTTCCCAGCAACTGTCTGTGGCCCAGCTGAATGTCTGGGCAAAAGGTTTGAGTCACGTCTTTCCTGTGTCTCTCCCCTTCAGCCTGCCTTCCTAGTGTGAGACATTTGAGACTAGAGTTAGTAGGATGAAAGAGTCTACAGGGGCATGGAGCGTTGTAACTATCAGAATGTGTGAGTGTGTGTGTGTGTGTGTCCTTGCATGTGGAGGTCAGAAAACAACCTCAGCTGTCATTCCTCAGATTTTGTCCATCTTGAGTTTTTGAGACAGGGTCTCTCACTGGCCTGACACTAGGTGGGTAGGCTTGTCTGACTGGTCTGTGAGCTTCAGGGGTCCATCTGTCTCCACCAAAACAGTACTGAGATTATAACTATGTCATTGTGCCTTGCTTTTTTTTTTTTTTTTGAACGTAAAATTTGTGTGTTTCCCCGTGTGTGTCCGTGTGTGTCTATATAAGTAAGGCAGCCTCAAGCATCAATCCTTGCCTTCAGTCTTGTCTGGAACAAGACAAGCTCTTGTTTCCTGGGGCATATGTCAGCTAAGCCCTAGCTGAGTTCTCAGACTCCTGTCTTTGTCTCTCATCTTTCCACAGGAGTGCTAGGATTATAGACACTGTGGTGTTCAGCTTTTTATGGGTGATGGAGAATGAAACTCGGGTCTTTATGCTTGTCCAGCAGGTGATTTAACCACTGAACTATCTATCTGTACCTGGCTGGCTTCTTAAAAATGTATGTTCCAGTGGTCAAGCTCAGGTCTTCATACTTGCAGATGTTTTACTCAATGAGGCATTTCCCTAGTTCCCCCACCAGCTGGATTTAAGGTAACCTGAGATGGCAGGAGCATTGGTCCTTTCTCTGAGTGTGGCTGTCTCTGTGAGCTCCAGTGGCTGTCACAGCAAAGCTCTCTGGGCCTTTGGATCTTCTCCTGAGCAGCGTGCACATTTGCAGTGCTTTGTGTGTAGAAGTGTGAACACTGTGCTCATTATATATTCACACATCCGAATACATTTTTACATAGAACATGTGCATATGGATGTGCATCCGCAGTGTTCCCAGAGAGAAGCTGGAAGGGACCCCAAGAGACAAGAGCACTTCAGACTTCCTTTCTTCCCATTTTGCTTTCCTAGTTCCAAAAGAACCCACCAGCCATGTGCTCGGCTGGCCACCTAAGCAAGGAAATGTCACAGTCTTCTGTGATCACAGCTGAGGGACTTGTCCCAGAAGAATAGCTGTTCACTATTTCTTTATGTGATTGTGTCATCCCCACGCCCTGTGTGTGTATGTTTGTCTGAGAGAGAGAGAGAGAGAGAGAGAGAGAGAGAGAGAGAGAGAGAGAGAGAGA